ATCTGCAGCAACGTGGTATGAGTTCTTTCTGTGCAAACAGAATCAGTGGGTAGGGTTAGCTCTCTAGAATACCGGACATTTGACTGTTGGAAGACATTTAGGTCTCTACTTGCACAGTTCCTCTCCTGCCTAATGTGACAGTAGACATGGGAGCTGGATGGTCATGGAAATGGATAATGAATCTGTCAGAGACAAGAGGGATGTCACAGCAATCTGCCTTGCACCCATCACAAGGCTGGAGGTCACACCACCAGGAACTGAGAGCAATCTGCCAGCATTGTCAAATGCATTTTTTTTTCCCCACTGGAAGAAAAGCCACTCTGGCAAGGGCTCTCAATAAAGTATTTTAGCTTTAGTTTAGTATTTTAGTTTAGCATAAACTGAGTTGTGGAAAATGAAAGGGAACTATTTCCAAATACAGGCTAGTGTTGTGAGGCCTCTGCATTCGTGTTCAATGCTTGGTTCTAGCACAATGACTGAGGAAAGACAGCCCAAAAGCTGTGTTAGGTCAGCAAATTTACTGCTAGGGAAGTTATTCTTAGTGCCTAAACAATGCCCCCAACCCCACAAACTTCAGCTAACCCAAGGGGGTCATCCTTGCAAGAGAAGTTGAAGCTAAAAGCTGCACATTCCAGAATAATTATGCTATACAATTGCCTTTTTTTCCTCTCCCATGAACTGTATTCTTTTCCTGGGTCTTTCAGGAATGTTTTTTGTATAGCTATGGTAAATTCACAGTCATCTGGTAAATTCACTGGAGTTTAAGTTAATTTAAATTGGGTTTACAAAATCTCACCAATTTTATGGAATTCTCTTTGCCCAGTATGAAGTTGGTTATGAAAAACAGCAATGAGGGTATTTGGCAGTTTCCAGCATACATCATGGACAACTTGATTTAATACAATGGGTATTATTAACCCATTGCCAAGCTAGCACAATATAATATGCACACAAACTTCCTACCTTCAGGGAGTTTTACTTGTTCACTCTTCCATTTGTTTACTCATCAGATGTTTTTTGAATACATATTATGTTTCAGGCACCAGGACATTTGCTGGGGATGTTGGGATAAATAAGGCAGACATGATGGCTGCCTCCTAGATCTGATGCTCCAGGGAGGGTAAGAAAAAAATAAGCAATTAAAATATAGCCTACGTCTGTAACAGGAGTGGTGTGTGCTTCATACCACACTTGCTCTTTGCCAAAAGGTCAAGAAGCAATAAGTGCTTCATTATGCAACTGGCTTTGGCTAGTGTCACAGAAGGCATAGTGTCATAGAAGGACCTAGAGTCCCTCTAGTGTCCTAGAGGATGGTGAAAGCTTTCCGATAGTTGATCAACAGATGTTTTGCATATCAACTAGGAAACAGGTACCAACATATCCAAATTAGCATCTGAAAGACAGAATGCTCCAGACAAAAGAAGCATGGGTAGGAGAGTAGAATGCTGGAGGCAGAGGAAATGGAATATAAGATTACCTGAAGATAAAGTTCAAACTTTACCTTCAACGGAGTTAAGAATTATACCAATGAAGCTGGATGAGGAACAGAGATAATTTCAAGGGGACTAGCAAGCCATACCATGCAGCTTGGACTCTATCCTGCGATTAATAGGAAATCTTGCAATAGTTCTAAGCCAGGAGTGACCCAAGTACACTGGATTGTTTGGCCCTTTGTTGAGATTGGGAAAAAGGAGTACAACAGGAACACTGACTTCTGTTTAGAAGCTGTTGCCATAGACATTATCAATGACAAGGATAATTACTACTAAGGAAATGGTCCTTGTAGAACTGTATGGATTTGAGAAAGGTAACAAAGGAATGAAAAATCTCAGGACATGGTGAGCAATGGAGAAATGACAAGTTAGATGTAGTAGAAAGGAAGAAGGAGTCATTCTTGGCAAACTGGGTGAAAGTTGGTAAATTTTACTGAGAATTTCCTTAGAAATCACAGGAGGAGGAATAAGTATGGAAAACACTTCAATTTTCGATACATTGAAATTAATGTGACCAAGAGGCATTTTGATGAATAAATCTGAAGCCCACAGAGAGAAATCTGAGATGGAGACAAAGATGCAGAGCTTAACAACACATTCATCATATATTCTTCACCTGATGATAATGGAAGGAAGGTGTTCTGTGGATCCCTCTCAGTAACAGAGAATTTCTGAATCTCCTACAATACTTTCAAATTTTTGAACTTACTTTACACATGTTTATTTGGGGTTCAAGGAGGAAGATATTACAAATTTACTTTTAAAAGTGTATAACTCCAAAAAGTTAAGGGTTACATACAGAAGGAAATGAAGGGACAACCTAGACAAGAGTGATTAACAGTGCCCAGAGAGGGTAGCTGACCAGGCTGGGCCAGAACTCAAAGGCCAACAGCACATGTAGTGGACAGACAGAGAAGAGAGTTCTGAAAATGACCTTGAGGGTCCAGTGGGCACAGTATTAGGGGAAAGGAAGTAGTTCACAGAGTCAATGCCACCGAGGGTTCAAAGGCAAGCACAAGTACCCACTGGATTTTTAACAAGAAGGGCATGGGGATCTTGACAAGAGAGGCAGGGGTCAGTTGGAAGGAGTAAGAGATGAGTTAATGGAAATAAGTATAGGAAGCTCAAGGAGAGAGAGGAATTAAGGAGGTAGTTGGAGAAGAACAGGTCCAAGTGAATATTCCCTGTCTTCCCCTCCAGAAGATAGGAGAGAGTTGTACAATGACTCTCTTAAGGCAAAGAGAGCCATAAGTAACAACTAACCAAAGCAAACACACAGAAGCAATTGAAGAACCCAGAAGAGTATACAGCTCTGGCTGTCTGTGGATTTTAGGGAAGGGTTATGAATTGAGTTGAACCTTGAATTGATGAATAAAGTTTTGGACAGGTTGAAATGATCCATTCATTGGAAGAAATTTGAGAAAAGCAGCAATAAAAAATTTGTCTGTTCTCCTTTGACCTCCTTTTGTTATTCAAATAATATTTTCTAAGTGAATAACAATGTCTTTAGAATGGAAATTGCCTGTAACTCTGAGAGTGATTACAAGTATGAAAGTGTTAACAGTTACAAGATATGCAATCCAGTTTTCAATTACGTCTTGCATCTTTGGTCTTCCCACATGAAACCAGCATATTCTTTGGGGTCACATTGTTCATTTTCTCATTTGGAAGTTTTAACACTAGATAGGGTGTTAAATCAGTATAAACTGGCACTTCTCCATATATATATAAACACATCCATAAATAAAGATGCTAATGGTAGGAAGAAGGAAAATCCTTTAATAAACAAAATAACATGACTAACTGCCTGCTTAAAGGACCTAGATCATGATTAAATACTGTTTATTTAACCAAATTCTTTTTTCTTCTGCCTTTTTAAGAGACTGTGAAAATGTTAATTTCAAAGGTAATGTTTATATGTTTAAGTTAAATAGGAATTGTTTTAGCAGTAGTCCTCCAGCTTATTATAATTCATAAGTACACAGTCAGTGGAGCATAACTAGAACTATTACAAACTGTAATAGATCCATGAGGAAGCTGAGGCTCTGTCTTCCCAGAGAGGTTTGAAGGATGACCATCGTTTAAGAAGACCCACATTCTCTTTAGAGGACAGACCACAACTCTCACAGTCATAGTCATTCCTTTTCTTCCTTTTCCTAAGTAAGATCCAGTGCTCCAAAGAGTTTAATAAAAAGACAAATTTGACCATCACTATACAGACATAATAAAAACCAAGATCAGTTTTTAATTTCATTTTCCTACCTAAGAAAGTATTCTCTTATTTTTCCCAGTTCGTGACATCTGCCCCCAAAAAACATACTGCCCCCACAGTATTTCTTTGTCTTTATGAAACTTGAGTTTCTATATTTTTGTCCTACTTTCTGGAAGAAGCTAGGCTCATTTTAACAAACATACACACAACATTTCAGGTTTTGACTCTGGCACATCCTGGTACTTTACCCCTTGACCTGCGTGTCCAGCTTTTCTTTCTGCGGGCATATCGCTTCCCATACGCATTGCTATGACCTCTGGCTATGGTCAGTCTGTCAACCTAGGTTTTACCTTTCCAGAGGACTTAGTCCATGCTTGGTCTGATAAACTTATAATTTGCTGCCTCAACAAATACCAGGTTGGCTTTTGCAATTTTATCATCAAAGACTTTGGATATGGGAATGCATTTCTGGGGAAATTGCTATTCCAATGCTGCTTGTCATATATCACAGCTTTATTCACAGACAGCAAAGGCACAGCCTCTGCTAGTGACTTAGAATCCCTTCTACACGTAGGCGTTTCATTTTCTAGGATTCTAACCATCTTTTAGTTAGGGTCATTTGGCCCGTTTCTGAGAGCGCTTTGTGATGATCTTATTTTCAGTAAGTGAGAAGGCTGGGGATTCCTGTTTCACCTTCTCTGGGATAGGTTGGGCCCTTGATGAAAACACTCTTCTGACCTGAGGAAATGTCATTTTAGAAGCCTGAAGGAGAACATCTGATTAGAATATGTCAGGTCTACAGAGCAAGACTGAATAACAAATTCTTTTAATGGCTTTCTCTGTGTTTAAACAAATAAGGACTGTCTTAATGATTTGAAGGAAGAAAAGAAGATAACATTGTTCCTTAAAACTAGATGAACTCAGATGACATTGTCATAGATTTGACAACTTCACAGAAAAACTGATCACTAGTGGCAATGTTTTGGATACCCGTAGGAAAACTCCTGACTTAGCAGCACAGTTGTCTGATGAGAGCTTCAAGCCTTCATTGAGTGGACTGGTGTCGGGCTTCCTCAAAGCATATGGTGAAGACAGGCTGCATCATAATAACTCTCCCCTGCCACAGAAGTTATTTGTTGGAAAGATCCTCTGAGCTGAGCCTGCAAATCAACATTTTAACAAAGGTCTCTGTGTTGCACTTAAGCACAGCACTGTGAGAGCCACACCCCATGAACGAGACCACTAAGGCCAACTTGACTGACGGTGAACTCTTTGTCTCTTCTCTGCCCAGGTGCAAGTGTAATCTCCATGCCACTATGTGTGTGTATGACAACAGCAAACTGACATGTGAATGTGAACACAACACTACAGGTCCAGACTGTGGGAAATGCAAGAAGAATTATCAGGGCCGGCCCTGGAGTCCAGGCTCGTACCTCCCCATCCCCAAAGGCACTGCAAATACCTGTGAGTAACTTTGCTCCGTTATACCGTATTCTGTGCATGATGAGCCGGTAGATCCTCTATTTCACTGGCAATTGTGATTTTGCTCCAGTTTTACTACTTGTAAGCATGTTTTAGCACTCTGCTTACCTGCTACATTCAGCCTTCTACCATCCCTATTAAATGTGTTGGAAAACGATTGTCAAAATCACAGAAGCAATTTTTTTCTAAGTAGATGAAAACAGAGGTGATTTTTTTTTCTCCCTCAAATTAATTTTCGATTAAAATTGCACAGGCCTTGAAAACTCTCAATCTAAACTAGCCATAAACAACTTCCAGAAATTCTTTGAGTGTTTACAATCCCATTTCCTACACAGGGTAACCTGAGAGACGCTTTGTTCAGAAGAGGTTTCCCTTTCCAATTTTAGCAAGGCTCTAGCTCTCCCCAATAAGATAACTGGCTTTTTCTAAGCTCCTGAAGTTGAGCCCTGCCTGCTATGGATGCTGTGAGTTAAGGCCACCTTTAGATAAACAACATGACTGTACAGTCTCGGGGTGCCATATAAAGAGAAGAAGCTTTTGTATGCATGTGAAAGAACCCAGGCATTATTGTACTCCAGGGGCCATGTGGGATGTCCTGTTACCACTCATGTGTGTGGTTCACTGAAATCCCTGAATATCCAAAAGAGATTAGACTCTGACATGCTCAAGAATAAAAGTGATTATTTCCCAAAATAATTTGCTCAATTCCATGGATGGGATGATCAGCCCCCTTTGCAAAAGCCCAAGGTTAGCCCCTTTTAAAAAGCAGAGAAAGAATGAGAAGGAAGAACAGCAGGACAGTGAGCACAGGAGAATAGAAACTTGAAAAGCCACTGGCTCCCATGCAAGGATAAGAATGTTATCAGACGCTTCAAAGCAGCAGCTGTGAGAAGCCAAACCTAAAACCTGATATCGCAGGAACCAAGGCCTTAGCAAGTTGTGTAAGAGTAATGGACCAAGTAACAAGCCAAAAGTGTGGGGCATGAAATTATGATAAAATTTCTGTGAAGGAGGAAAAAGTCCTTCAAAAGGTTAAAAAAAATCTCTTCATAAGGGTGTTTAGTGTCTTTCTGTGTTAAAGATAAAGCTGACTTGTTGCTCTTCGAATTAATACATAAAAGCTCTGTTGAACAGAAATGTTGATTTTTCAAGGCGATTGAATTAATGGAGACTTCTGTGGGCTTTTTTAAATTGTTAAGAGCTACAGAATTTGGAAAGAAACTCACTAGATTATTTGTTGCAATATCTTGTGGCTGGCTACTAGAGAACCCCTATCACCACAGTTGTCAAATTTAGTCTTAAGCTTTCCCAAAATGAAAATGGCTCAGATTTTATTTTCAGGGTCTGCTGCCTCTTTAGTGGGGCTAGATGAAAGAAATCAAGCTCACAAACACTTGCTAGCTTTCTGACTCATCCTCAAGGCAGACCAACTCTCCAGGGCCACCAGAGAGGTAGCCAGGGTAGGCTGCTGTTGAAGGCCTTGGCTTCTAACATGACCCTGTCCTTCTACCCATCACTGTGCTTCAAAGATTTTGTCTATTTCAAATCAAATGTCTTCTCTCTGGGAAGACATTTTTTCAGCCAGTCTTTTTCACTGGAATCTTCTCCATGTTATGTTATCTTCTCCACACAAAATGACTTACACCATCTTAACCCTTTGCATATGGATGATCAATAAGTCAGTCCCCAACTAAAGGAATGCACCCTCCTTTGATTTTCCTTATACATCCAGTTGTTCATCATTTTTATTGTCATTCTTTGGACTTCTGGACTTTCTCACATCTCTCTTAAAATAGGAAAGTAACGGAAGAACCTGATGGCCAAGGGAGATCAAGTCAATGTTTCAATCACCAATAGGAGCAGGAAGCTGATAAAAGCCTTAGAAAGTATCTGGTCTAGAAAAGTCTTAAAATCAACCAATCTCCAACACATCAGGTTGTGCTTTAAAATACCCAAGGATGGCCGTAAGCACTGTAGCAGTTTGGAACACATGTTCTAGAATCAAATCCATACTCTCCCATTTACTTGCTGTATGACCTTGAAGCAGTGAGACAGGCTTATTTCCCATCCTTAATGGAAGCTAACGACAGTTCTCGCCTCACAGAGATTTTGAGAGGATTGAATAAGCTAATGAAATGCTGTGTTTATCATAACGTCACTAAGTGTTCAAAAATAATTTTTTTCAAGTTTTTTTCATAAAGCAGTCTTGTCTGCTGTCAGACAGCTTTGTTACTAAAGTTATTTCTTAATGCTAAGTGTCTCTTAACTTCTGTTTTGTCTTTTTAAGTAGTAATAGGACTATATTGACCCTGCTTTCATTTCTTCTCCAGATTAACTATCATGCATTTTCATTCCATTTTTCATGTGATGTTTCATGTCTCTTGCCTAATTGCATGTCCTAAAAGTCCTCTAGCTCATCAGGGTGGAGTTTCAAGCCAAGGAGTAAGCAGGAAACTTAGGAGTTTCCTTTCATACTGGCTTTTTCTTACACACACACATAATATGCACATGCATACACACATCTCCACATGACTCCACAGGTATGCTGTAAGTCACTGATCTAAGAGGAAAACTTAGGATATGTTTTATCCTAACTGCAACTTCAAATGTGAGAAGAAAAAAGGAGGGACTGCCACCTCTAGCCCTTCAACGTCTACTTCGGTGGACTGGAAATGCTTCCATACTGGCTGATGTCTACAGTTAGCAGAGTCTCAAGCAGACAGGATAACATTTGGATTAGAAGGTCAAGTTTTGCTCACCTCTGCAGGTTGTAGGAGGCTTTTGTTTAAGCAGTGAATTATAAGATCCTCTTCCAAAGATGCTCAACACACTACTTAAGAATAATTCAGTCTGGAACCTTGCTGGGAGTCACCAGACTTTGGAGGTCTTGCATGCCAGAGCAGTTCAAGACCTCTTTTTTATGGCACATGCAATACCAAGGCAGAAAATCTGAAACATCATCCATACAGTCATATTACCTTACTAAAAATATTTGATAAGTCCAATAGTAAAGTAGCATATGTTACCCAGTATTTCTTAAACTTATTTATTTCATGGAACACTTAATAACTTTTTATAAAACACTCTTTCGGGAACACACTGGTCTAAACAATTTCTTGCAGCCTAGTCTTAGAAATGTCACAGAGATAGACAGCTAGTGCAGCTGTAGTCAATCTTTTCCTTTTCTCTTATGTACGTAGTCTAATAGTCTTCAAAGAAGGAAAATTAAATTGGTCTGACAATGACATTGTTCGTTTGTTCAGAAATCCAACTTGAATTGTTATACAATATCTAAGGCTCCTCTGAGTGACAGAAAGTAATTTGATGATTGTTCTATTATTTTCTTTGGTATTAAATTTGCATTGACCAGTTTCTATTTTCCCAGGTGTACACATGGGTGTGTCATTATCTAGATGATTTCTTCAGTATTTTATGTAAGTTAGACCACAATATTCATAATAATCTTATAAGGTAGATACTACTGTTTTTATTTTACAAGTATGGAATCTTAAGAATATAAGGAAAAGTGTCTTCTCTAAAGTTTCCACAGCTAGTAAGGGTGAGAGAAGGGAGCTGAGTTCATGTATCTTGCTTCCAAACATTGCACTGTGCTGCATCTCAGTGAATTTGAGTGACTTTCTCTGTCTCCCAGTGGGGTCTAGGCTCCATTATGACACCTGCTTAAACAAGTCAGTCTTCTGTAAATCTACTGGCTGTCTAGATCTCTGCTTGATATTTCTCTGTGTTCAAACACTCCCCTTCTCTTCTTTAAAATCTTCATGTTCTTAAATCTTCACCCTGCCCCAATGCCTATTCCTAATCTGCATTGTTTTTTTTTTCTTTTTCTTGATGCTCCAATCTGTTCCTGTCATTTAAGTTCTTGAAATTATTGGTTTAGTGGAAATAAACCAATTCTCAACTCAGTCTTTACAGTGAATACACAGCAATTTTGCCAGCTGTTTGTAAAGATCTCAGTGTTGACACACTAGATGCTGAATTCATTCACTTTCTTCCACTTTTCTCTTCTTCGTGTAATGAAATTCTGTGCATTTTTGAAGACTGCTCCTCATTGTCTCAGTGAAGCCTACCTAAACTCCCTCATGCAAAACCAATTGCTCTCCTCTCTCCAGCTTTTCTTATGTGCTAAACTTACAAAACTACTTGGCTATCTCTAACAAAATCCATGATGCTAATGATGGGTACTATTAATTTTATTGTGTTGTTTTTTTAGGCTTTTGCATTTCATGAAGGGCTTTACCTGCTTTATTGTCTTAAATCTTCACAACATCCTCCCTGGATACATAACTGCTGTTATTCAAGTTTTAAAGATAAGGAAACACAGGTACAGAAAGGTTAACTAAGTTGTCCTAAGATCTCATAACTAATACATGACAAAGCAATATTTAAACTCAAATCTATCTGAGTTAAGTTACTAAAACAGTAGCAACTTAAGAACAAGATCTTATTTTATTCCTGGTCTTCATAAATGTTTTTGGAATAGTTATTTTGGCAAGTGAATAAGTAAACAGTCCTGTAATGAGCATACGGGTTCCTTGCTTCTTGTTATCTTCTGGAATATGTGGTCTTCACAGCTCAGCAGCCCACTCAGAAGAGCCTTCATTCCCTATCAGGGAGAGATTGTGTGAACTCTTGGAGGAAATCCAATAGGAGAAAGACTCACTGATACTCAAACATCATCCACCCATCTAGGGACAGGACCTGACCAATTGGTTTTTGCAGGTCTCCCCGAGCGGCATTGACAGCCGGAATAACCTGACCACTTTCTGGCAATGATTACCAGCCTTTAAGGCTCAGAAGCATAATTCAATCAGCACGGTAAGAAAAATCTCTGCTCACAGGGCCTGATGTGTATGAACCAAACTTGTAAGTCTACATATACAATCAGAATACCATAGTTATACATGCATAAGCCCCATTCTGCAGACCCTATCTGAAGCTCATGGGACCAGTTATGATTTGGA